CAATAGGAGAAGACGACATGACCCAGCTGGAAAATTTTCGGAGAATAGGGGGGTTTGTAAAAAAAAGAACCCGGCCAGTGAAAGTGACCTTCAAGGCAGAATCGACTCGGAACAGGATCCTGCAGGAGAAAGCACGATTAAGACATGTCGGCATACAGGAAGGTGTATCTCGACCGTGACAGAACACAAGAGGAAAGGCAGAAACTGAGAGAGAGGGGTACAAAGGCGAAAGGAGGAAAGAGAGGGGATGGAGAAGACAGACAGGAGATCCCAGACACAGGAAAAAGATCAAATACAGCCTCCCTCACAACTTCCTATAAAAGGGCCTCCCAACCAGGTCAACCCCAGTGCAACCAAACACTCTAAACCAAAACACCCATGCCACATCCAATGCCCCCACCCACTGCATTACAAACTCCACCCCCACAGCAACCACCCATAGTTCCTTATCAGGTCTCCCACTTCCCCAACCCCAATACACCTCCCAGACCACAGTCTTAGAAAAGAAGTTGAAGGTGTGGTAAACAAATGCAGATGGAATAGAAAAATAAGTATGAGGAGTGGCACGAAAGAATCAAGGAGACATCCCCAGACATAATAGCACTCACAGAAACAAAACTCACCAGAATAATAACAGATTCAATCTTTCCATCCGGATATCAAATCCTCAGGAAAGACAGAGGGAGGAGAGGGGGAGGAGGAGTTGCACTGCTTATTAAAAACCAGTGGGGTTTTGAGAAAATGGAAGGAATGGATGGCACGGGCGAAAGGGACTACTTAGTAGGAACAATCCAGTCTGAGGGACATAAGGTGATAATTGCAGTAATGTACAACCCACCACAGAACTGCAGGAGGCCAAGAGAAGAATACGATGAAAGCAACAGAGCAATGGTCGACACACTAGCCGAGGTGGCCAGGAGAGCACACATGGGGGAAGCAAAGTTAATAGTTATGGGTGATTTCAATCACAAGGAGATTGACTGGGAAAACCTGGAGCTCCATGGGAGTCCCGAAACATGGAGAGCCAAGATGATGGATGTGGTACTGGAAAACCTCATGCATCAACATGTTAGAGACACTACCAGAGAGAGAGGAGAGGATGAACCAGCAAGACTGGACCTTGTATTCACTTTGAGTAGTTTGGACATCGAGGATATCATGTATGAAAGGCCCCTGGGAGCTAGTGATCATTTGGTTCTGTGCTTCGACTACATAGTTGAGCTCCAAGTGGAGAGAGTAGCAGGAATAGGGTGGGAAAACCAAACTACAAAGGAACTGACAGGAAAATCAGTACAAGAAATGATCGACTATGTGGCAACAAAATGCAAGGAGGCAGAGGAGAGGTTTGTTCCCAAGGGAAACAGAAATAATGGGAAGAACAGAACGAGTCCTTGGTTCACCCAAAGGTGTAGGGAGGCAAAAACTAGGTGTACTAGAGAATGGAAAAGGTACAGAAGACAGAGAACCCAGGAAAATAAAGAGATTAGCCGAGGAGCCAGAAACGAATATGCACAGATAAGAAGGGAGGCTCAGCGACAATATGAAAATGACATAGCATCGAAAGTCAAGACTGACCCGAAGCTGTTGTACAGCCACATCAGGAGGAAAACAACAGTCAAGGACCAGGTAATCAGACCGAGGAAGGGTGATATGGAATTCACAAGAAACGACCGAGAGGTATGTCAGGAGCTCAACACGAGATTTAAAGAAGTATTTACAGTGGAAACCAGTAGGACTCCAGGTAATCAGAACAGGGGGGTACACCAGCAAGTGCTGGATGAGGTACATATAACCAAGGAGGAGGTGAAGAAGCTGCTATGCGAACTTGACATCTCAATGGCGGTGGGACCAGACAACTCTCCGTGGGTCCTTAAAGAGGGGGCAGAGATATTGTGTGTGCCATTAACAAAGATCTTCAACACATCATTTGAAACTGGGCAACTCCCCGAGGTATGGAAGGTGGCAAATGTAGTCCCAATTTTTAAAAAGGGAGACAGACATGAGGCACTAAACTACAGACCTGTATCACTAACGTGTATAGTATGCAAAGTCATGGAGAAGATCATCAGGAGGAGAGTGGTGGAGCACCTGGAAAGAAACAAGTGTATAATTGACAACCAGCACGGTTTCAGGGAAGGAAAATCCTGTGTCACAAACCTACTAGAGTTTTATGACAAGGTGACAGAAGCAAGACAAGAGACAGAGGGGTGGATCGACTGCATTTTTTTGGACTGCAAGAAGGCCTTCGACACAGTTGCTCACGAGAGGTTACTACAAAAGCTAGAGGATCAGGCACACATAACAGGAAAGGCACTGCAATGGATCAGAGAATACCTGACAGGGAGGCAACAACGAGTCATGGTACGTGACGAGGTGTCAAAGTGGGCGTCTGTGACAAGCGGGGTTCCACAGGGGTCAGTCCTAGGACCTGTGCTGTTCTTGGTATATGTGAACGACATAACGGAAGGGATAGACTCAGAAGTGTCCTTGTTTGAAGATGATGTGAAGTTAATGATAAGAATCAAATCGGATGAGGATCAGGCAGGACTACAAAGAGACCTGGACAGGCTACAAGCCTGGTCCAGCAACTGGCTCCTTGAGTTTAACCCTGCCAAATGCAAAGTCATGAAGATTGGGGAAGGGCAAAGAAGACCGCAGACACAATATAGTTTAGATGGCCAAAGACTGCAAACCTCACTCAAGGAAAAAGATCTGGGGGTGAGTATAACACCGAGCATATCTCCTGAGGCGCACATCAATCAGATAACTGCTGCAGCATACGGGCGCCTGGCAAACCTACGGATAGCGTTCCGATACCTCAGTAAGGATTCGTTCAAGACTCTGTATACCATTTACGTCAGGCCCATACTGGAGTATGCAGCACCAGTTTGGAATCCACACCCAGTCAAGCACGTCAAGAAATTAGAGAAAGTGCAAAGGTTTGCAACAAGACTAGTGCCAGAGCTACGGGGATTGTCCTACGAAGAAAGGTTGAGGGAAATCGGCCTGACGACACTGGAAGACAGGAGGGTCAGAGGAGACATGATAACGACATATAAAATACTGCGCGGAATAGACAAGGTGGACAAAGACGGGATGTTCCAGAGAAGGGACACAGACACAAGAGGTCACAATTGGAAGTGGAAGACTCAGATGAATCAAAGGGATGTTAGGAAGTATTTCTTCAGTCTTAGAGTAGTCAGGCCGTGGAATAGCCTAGAAAGTGACGTAGTGGAGGCGGGAACCATACATAGTTTTAAGGCGAGGTATGATAAAGCTCATGGGGCAGGGAGGGAGAGGACCTAGTAGCAATCAGCGAAGAGGCAGGACCAGGAGCTATTACTCGACCCCTGCAACCACAAATAGGCGAGTACAAATAGGTGAGTACACACCCACACCCACACACACACACACACATATATATATATATATATATATATATATATATATATATATACAAACTGTGTATATGTGAAGTAGGTTGGTAGACAGCAACTACTCAGGGACGTACTACCGTTCTGTCAAGTGAGTGTAAACCCGAAACCTGTAATTGTTTTACATGATAGGATTTATGCTGTCTTCTTTCTGTCTCATAAACATACAAGATTTCAGGTAAGTCTTGTTACTTTTTCTTACACTTAGGTCACACTACACATACATGTACACATTTATTTATACACACTCATCTGAATTTTCTTTGATTTTATCTTAATAGTTCTTGGTCTTATTACTTTTCCTTTTATATCCATGGGGAAGTGGAATAATAATCTTTCCTCTGTAACTCATGCATGTTGTAAAAGTCAACTAAAATGCTGGGAACAATGGGCTAGTAACCCCTTTTCCTGTACAGTTTACTAAAAGGAAGAAGAAATTTCTCAAAGTGGGATGTCTGAATGTGCGTGGATGTTGTGCCGATGATAAGAAAGAGATGATTGGGGATATTATGAATGAGAAGAAACTGGATGTCCTGGCTTTAAGTGAAACAAAGCTGAAGGGGGTGGGAGAGTTTCAGTGGAGAGAAGTAAATGAGATTAGGTCAGGGGTTTCAAATAGAGTTAGAGCTAAAGGAGTAGCAATAATGTTGAAGGATAAGCTATGGCAGGAAAAGAGGAAGTATAAATGCATTAATTCAAGGATTATGTGGAGTAAATTAAAGGTTGGATGTGAAAAGTGGGTTATAGTAATATTTAGTGAAGGGATTCAGGGAAACCGGTTATTTTATATAGCCGGACATGAATCCTGGAAATGGGAAGTACAATGTCTGCACTCTAAAGGAGGGGTTCGGGATATTAGCAGTTTTGAGGGATATGTTGTGTATCTTTATACGTATATGCTTCTAAACTGTTGTGTTCAGAGCACCTCTGCAAAAACAGTGATTATGTGTGAGTGAGGTGAAAGTGTTGAATGATGAAAGTGTTTTCTTTTTGAGGATTTTCTTTCCTTTTGGGTCACCCTGCCTCGGTGGGAGACGACCGACTTGTTAAATATATATATATATATATATATATATATATATATATATATATATATATTATATATATATATATATATATATATATATATATATATATATATATATATGTAAGCAGGATAAAATTTTTGCATTTTAGTCAGTGACAAACACAACAATATGTACTAAACATGTATCTCTCACATCTTATGTACTGTATAAGCCATCTTCATATATATTTACACTGAATAAGTAAATATCCAGCCACTGTGGATACTAATTACCCAGATTTTATACTTGTGTGGTCGATACTAATTCAGTTTGGCTAGCTTCTACAAAAGTAGATTAAAACTTTATGTAAGTCGAAGGAGGCGCGTACGATTAGTTATCATTGTTTCATCAGCAATGCACTTCTCAAAGGTTATTTGATGGATAATTATTGCCAAAGGTTCATCAGGCGCGGGATTATCAATGTTTCCTTGCGTAGAGCGGCGAGGCTCAGGTGAGGTACCATTTACACAGTGAAGAGCTGAGGCGCTGCTCCCTGATGATGGCTGCTCTCAACATCACCCGCTGCCTCAAACTGTGTTTGTACGATGTAAGCATTGTCACCCTCCTGGTTACCACTAATTTATTCTAACACACTGTTCTGGCCTATAACACCGATTCATTAACCAAATAAAGAAGTATCTGGGCGTAGTCGAGTGTTGTGATTAGAGTACTGAAGGATGGTCAGGTGCCTGAAGACGAAGTCGCAGTAAATGATTGCAACAAAGCGCTACTTTATAATGATAAAGAACGGACTGATATATCTTGCAATTCAATGTTTGACAAAGATATACTATGTACCAGTTAGCTTACCTCAGTCAACGCTAGTTCAAGGGTTCTTCATCCAAGAAATCGGAGTTACCCTTCCCTTACCTTACCTAACATTCCTCGGACACTGCCCCCGTAGAGGTTTAGCGCCTCCCCATTAGTATAATAACTGGTAGTCTCTTAATTCACTATTATCTACTGATTCATAATCAGTAATCTTAACTGCGTTTTTAAAGGACTATTCAAAGAAATTTATCATGGCCTCCTTCCATGTTGTGCACATTTACTGAGACAGTTTTATGTGCCAGAACCAATTCAAGATTGTTCTGGATGGTTCAGTCACAAATTGCCCAAGCAGTTTTGGGTTACTTGGAAGCCGAGAGACTGCCCACACTCGGGGAAGAGCACTAGATACAAATCAAAATTGCAACCTACTGATGTTTATGTATCATGGAGACTTGTGAGACTGTAGGAACACTGGAGTCACAAACGTCCCTCCTCCAACACCCGCCATCTCAGCTCTCCAAACAACTTCGGATCGGGGCACTGGATTAGAAACATATGGTTCTTGTATATTATGAAAATTTACATCAGTAATAACTGACAATTAAGCGGACTGTATAATTATGAAAAATTTAAACGAACTTTAATTGTTTAAGCATTACACCTACCTATTACATTGGTGATATATCCTATCGCCTCCTCCAGCAAGCTTAAAAGAAAACTGGCCAATATCAAGTAACCTTACCTGTTATGTAGTTTGTGATGCACACTGGAAACTCAGCCGGAAAGTAAACCTAAATTATTGGAGTCATCTAGCTATCGCGTCTCGTTTCCTTCCATACCATCCTTATGGTTCCATTTATTTATATATATGGGCCGTTCCAGATGTATTTTCCCTTCACTTATCTTGTAGTGAAAATTCGCCGATATTTCTATAGGCCACTCTTAATTCGAGAAACATTTGCGAACTCAACAGCGCTGTATGACCCTTGTAGGTTTAACGCTTCTTTTTTATTATAATAGTAATTTGCGAACTAACCAGCTCGTATTATCCTTCGTACCTCCATCTGTTTTTTTTTTTACTCTCCTATTTTGTACACATAGGTTTATTCAAATTTAATGATATTTCTGGGTGTTATGCATTTTCCTCATCAGAATATTAATTCCTACAATATTACAATAATTCCACTTTACTTAATTATTAAATTATATAAGGAAATTATATTGAATATTTTGGCTCCCCGTGACTTATCACCTTTTAAGTCACATTAACATTACACACCTGTATTATTATTATATAAACAATCCCTACCAATTATTACATTTAAATCATTGGAAAATTATCAAAATTTTCCCCAATGGGTATGAGGCGCATAATAAATATACCGAACTAAAACTGAAATTGAAATCCAAATGATTGAATACATTTTCATATCTAGAGGTCTTCACATATTCTAAAAGAAATATTAATCACTTACCTATGGTTTAGGTTGTCGTAGTCCTCCAGGAATATGTAAACAACAAAACTCATAAAATAAGTCTCTCATCCTGTGTTACACAAGTTGCCACTAACATTTCACCATTTGCAGTTTTGGCCGTTCAATCTTATTAAAGGAACGTCCCCGCCGTATGTAATCGAAGGCACGATGTGTTGGGGACCATGCAATCATCGCTGCTAAACTAGGATTTCATGGTGCGCTATTATTCCCCCACCTCTTTTTTTTCAGTGCCACATTCTAGACGAGGGGTCCTTAAACAGGAAAACCCCAAAGGGACAGGCTCAGGAAGTCTGTGGAGGGTTCGTTAAAAACGTAATTCATACCCCAACTTGTTGCCCCACTTTGATTCATTTCCTAATGAGCAAGAAGAAACCTTTTTAAAAATGTCTCCAAAGTTCTTAGTTTTGTATCTGGTTTTAATGTATTTCAGTGGATCCATATGAAGATATACTGTATAAGAGGTGGCGGTCCATATTTAACATTCGAGGACTTACAGAGTCCATAGGTGCAAAAGTTAGGAACCCCTTGTTTTAGGCTGTGCGATTCAGCTAATGTCTTTTCAAGTAGTTGTCTTCTTTTGGTGCAATGTCTTTTATATTTTTTTGTACATTTTTACAACATATAAAATGTAAAATCACTACTCAATAAAAATTTATTCTAAATCAATTATGCATTTGTACGTAACTAAAATTGAACAAAATACAAGCATACACCTAAACTTATTACAATATTTATAGTTTGAGTTAAGCATCGAATGTCGATTAACACCAACACTACTGATGTATAACACATGTAGCAGTTGGCATTTTTTTTAATGGATGATATTTTCACCATAGATTTGATGAAGGCTCTGCTAGGTGTGCCTTTCAATGGTAGTGTGAGTTATATATTTAAGTGTTAATTAAAACTTGTGTCGCAGCTTCGAGTACGTGATGACGGAAACCCGCGCTTATGGCATCCAGCTGCCCAATGGCACCTGGACGGGCATGATGGGCCTTCTTACACCCCAAGGTCATTTGCCACCCACACCCTCTGTCTTGTCTTACTATTCTGTCTGTCTTCCCTTTAGTCTCCTCAGTCTTACTGTCTTGTCTTACTCTCCCCTGTCTTACTGTCTTGTCTTACTCTCCCCTGTCTTACTGTATTGTCTTTCTCTCCCCTGTCTTACTGTATTGTCTTACTCTCCCCTGTTCTTACTGTATTGTCTTACTCTCCCCTGTCTTGCTGTCTTGTCTTAGTCTCCCCTGTCTTACTGTATTGTCTTACTCTCCCCTGTCTTACTGTATTGTCTTATTCTCCTCTGTCTTACTGTCTTGTCTTACTCTCCCCTGTTTTAAACTGTATTGTCTTACTACTCCCCTGTCTTACTGTATTGTCTACTCTCCCCTGTCTTACTGTATTGCCCTTACTCTCCCTGTCTTACTGTATTGTCTTATTCTCCTCTGTCTTACTGTCTGTCTTACTCTCCCCTGTCTTACTGTATTGTCTTACTCTCCCCTGTCTTACTGTATGTCTTACTCTCCCCCTGTCTTACTGTATTGTCTTACTCTCCCTTGTCTTACTGTATTGTCTTACTCTCCCCTGTCTTACTGTATTGTCTTACTCTCCCCTGTCTTGCTGTCTTGTCCTACTCTCCCCTGCTTACTGTATTGTCTTACCCCTCCCCTGTCTTACTGTATTGTCTTATTCTCCTCTGTCTTACTGTCTTGGGTCTTACTCTCCCCTGTCGTACTGTATTGTCTTACTCTCCCCTGTCTTACTGTATTGTCTTACTCTCCCCTGTCTTACTGTATTGTCTTACTCTCTCCTGTCTTGTCTTACTCTCCCCTATCTTACTGTCTTGTCTTACTCTCCTCTGTCTTACTGTATTGTCTTATTTTCCTCTGTCTTACTGTTTTGTCTTGCTCTCCTCTGACTCACTGTCTTGTCTTACTCTCCTCTTACTGTCTTACTTTCCTCTGTTTTACGGTCTTGTCTTACTCTCCTCCGTCTTACTGTCTTGTTTTACTCTCCTCTGTCTTACTGTCCAAATCTTAAAAAAAAAAATTATGAGGTAGCTATTTCCTTACTGTGGGGTCTTAATCTGTCAATTTAGCAACAAAATTATTTAATTAAGTGGGGACTTCGTTTCTGTGTGATTCAATTCAATTCAATTCAATTCAAAGTTTATTCTCTATAAGGATTACAATGCTGAGTTTACAGAAATTTGGTTATTGTTTGGTTTACATGTAGTAAAATTGTGATTACAGAGTGTACCACTAGAACGCTTAGCATGGCTAGGCATTTCGGGCATACTTAGTTTTATTCTTAATTGTAAAATATTACAAATTATGAGGTAAGTTGGTCTTATGGCTAAGTGACTAAATACTAGTTTATGAGTTTAGCAGTGTGATAACTATGATATGGCTCTTCTGATCACCCACAAGTTTTCAGTGCTGGACTATTTTTCTCAGAGGAAGGTTAGCCTTGTTATTGGACTTAATAAGACCTAATTTTTCAATTTAATTAAAAAAAATTCGGAAGTGGCAACTAGTGGATACTTCTTTTGATATGGTTCGAACTCCCAACGATGGAATGTCTTTCCTAATGGATGGTTTGTGTGAATTATTATTATATGAACCAAATTACCTGCAGGAGACTTACAGGGCATTACCTAAATTATTACCTGCAAATAATTTGGGTGAGGTAAGTGGGACTTACATCACAGCAGGTCGACGAACTGTAACTCCCTCAAAGCTCACTCCCTACCACTCTCACAAAAAGCTAGACCTGACATTAAATTAATAATTATAATATTAAAACCAGCTACTGCTAGGTACACAAAATATAATTGGTATTAGCATTACTGTAGATGGATCACACCACAACACCTGCCTAACACCTAGCCCCTACACTGGCCAGCTAGAGATCTAAATGCAAAAACTAATGGTGCACTTCAAATTCAAATTGTTTATTTCCTTGAAAATTTACAATGTGGTTGACATATTGTAGGACGTATTTTTACATAGGTAGTTTACAGTGAGTGTTTACAATGATTTGTAGTGCAAAGAGAGCCACTATCATGCCTTGGCATTACAAGCAGTGAGTGTGTTTGCATCCCCCTTATCTTCCGCCAGCCAAAGTAATTCTTGAGGTCCTGCAAATTTTCTGTCCTAATTCTTCAGCAGGGGACATTAACACAGGTTCCTAATTATAAATTCAGACCGAAAAACCACATTGCACAACTCAGTTCAGTGCTCGAAGGGTCTAAATAGCATCACATTTTAATACACAATTATTGTATTATTCATTTATATGTTCTACATTTAGGGAATTATGTAAAAAAATTCCACAGTTTGGGTTTGTATTGAAACAAGTTTCAATTTTCGAAATTAATGGTGATGCTGTTTTTTGAACCTAACAATTCATTACCTAAAACTTGCTTCAACTTAATTTTCCTTTATTTATTATTTTTTGTTAAACCTTATTATACCACTGTGGCATGAAATTCCAATCCAACAAACGTCCCAGACTAGACATGGTGGAAAAGCAAATTACTTTTTTGTGTAAATTTCGTAATATGGGCCTGGAGACACTCCAGCTTTAAAGCCACCGAGATCAAATATTACCCCAAAGACCCAGAAAGTTTTACTCATAGGATCAACCTCTTCTGTTGAAAATAATGTCGTCAGTTTCACTCAACGGTTCATGATTGTAGCCATGTATAAACGTAAGTAAGTAAATTTACTTACAGGATTCTTTACCTTTGTAACTTGTGAGTTCATTACCTTTGTACCTTGTTCAGTTATCAAAACTTTGGGGTTCAGTCCCTGGACCCATTATGTACCTCTGTAATCTTTTGACTACCGCCCACAGGATGGGTATGGGGTGCATAATAAACATATTAAACTAATTAAACTAACCTCTGCACCAGTCACACCCAACGCGATCAAGGTAGATCTGTCAAGATGATGACTGGGAGTTATTAGAATAATTTTATAAGTCAGGGAAAGTTTCTCCTGATGCAGACCTCAGTCATAATATGACCTGGTCATTGAGGCTTTTGGTCAGGTTGTGAGCCCGGTGGCCTGGTGGCTAAAGCTCCCGCTTCACACACGGAGGGGCCCGGGTTCGATTCCCGGCGGGTGGAAACATTTCGACACGTTTCCTTACACCTGTTGTCCTGTTCACCTAGCAGCAAATAGGTACCTGGGTGTTAGTCGACTGGTGTGGGTCGCATCCTGGGGGACAAGATTAAGGACCCCAATGGAAATAAGTTAGACAGTCCTCGATGACGCACTGACTTTCTTGGGTTATCCTGGGTGGCTAACCCTCCGGGGTTAAAAATCCGAACGAAATCTTCTCTCTTACAAGGTCTTCTGCTAGCGTACCGCTCTACCTTTCCCACCACAAGTATCTCCTGAAGCCCCTCGCCTACCCTCCACTCCCAACAAAGAAAACGGTTAATACAGTTATACAATCAAATTAGTGAATTATTGTATATAACGTAAATTTTAGCAAAAATAAAAAAAAAGGCAAATGAATTAATAAATTGACATAAAGATTAAAATTTGACATAAATGTGAGTAAAATGACAGTATATAAAACAAATTTCGTTACCTGTTTACTTATGGATAACTCCGGCTGATCAGAATTAAAAAAAAAAAAAGAGATCCATTAGTAGCATCAAAAGATACATAATTTTCAGTTAGTGTGTTGATGATCGTGTGTTTGTTTATGTTGGCAGGAGGTGGACATGTCTGGGGTAGTGTTCTCCCAGCACGAGAGTCGTGTTCATGTTTAGACCTTCAGGCGAGCCCAAGCCACTCTCATGAGTGATCATGTAATGGCTTACAAGCGCTTCCACACATCCAGCAGATATTGCAGGTTTTGTCAAGCCCTCCTTACCACCTTGGTGAGAAAACTTGGGGAAGAAAACCGAGTAAGTTGAGTTAGTAGTTAGTTGTAGTAGTATCTTTTTTTTTACACAACGTAATTTCTGTACCCTAATGGATGCTTTTGCCTAAAAGCAAAAGAAAAATGACCCCGTTTATTTCAATATGTCACCCCTAAATGAAAAAAAAAGAGTAACAAAAAACAGTAACTTTGAATGCATATTGCATGTAATATATTAATACAAATAAAACAGCTTTTTTAAAGTAGCATTATTCATGTTTGTGCTATATTACTGCTTTTGCTTAGAATAAACCGTAACTTGCAGTTTGTTATTGTTTCTGCAGGCAAGCATACAGTTCTAATGAACTGCTCCTAGTAGCAGTTCAGGTGAAACAAAACAAAACATTAACTTTCAGTTGGCAACACCCCATTTACGTACCTGTTAATAAAAAACCAAATTATTGGGACCACTATTGTCTCACCTGTTTACATTCAAGTGGTTTCACTAATTGTACATGGTCTCTTGGCTAATGGTGGTTGGAGGGTAGGACCTGGGCACATATTGGATTCTGGCATCCACACGGAGAATATTACACAAGATTAATTAATCACTCTTTTTCACTTTGCCGTCCTATGTGGAATCCATGAAAGTTTCCCTAATACTCAATTTAAGGTATCTTGTACCCCACCCATGCATTTCATTTTTGATGGGCATTTTAGAACATTCAAATTTGTTAGATGATGCAAAGTTTGGGCAGTAAGAGAGGGTGTTTGTTTACGGTCTGTTTAGCATAATCACCCGATTCAGCATTTGTAACCTACCTCGCACCTAATTACATTGTTCTCTTTATACAGCCCCCAATTTCTCTATTATAGAACCTTTCACAAGTTATTTTTCTTTCCTCATCAGTTTTAATTCATTTTCCCATAGATTTCCTCCTGTACATTTTTATCCAATATTCTAGAGGCTGTGAGAAAACTTTTATGAAATATTTATCTGTTTAGATATTCAAACACCAAACTTAGTTTACATTGATCAGTTTTGGGTGTTAAAGAAGAATACCATTTATATCAATGGAATAAAGAAGGACAAAAACTATTGGAGCAGGTGTTCACGGTAATTTCATACAGGAGCAATATACTCCTTTTATACAGGGCAATAGCTTTATTTACAACCAGCTCAGTCTTAAAACACTTTGATACAGCATTTACCAATTTAGCATAAGTAAACTCGCGAGACAAGAAATCGGCTTGGATTCTCCTCACCAGGTTTATGATGAATGTTAACATAGGCTGACCCAAATATTATACTTCTCTTCATCTGATAAATGTCAGCGACTCTGTTTTGTATGTACACAAATGTACACAATTTTACTGTTTCCATTTGCGAATCCATTGTAAGGATATACTCATTATCGGGACCAAATTACAGTGTGTCGCTAATTTTACCTACTGAACTTATTTCTTTTATAATTAGCTAATTGACACCTACCATAAATGCTGTTAATTCCAATGAGGGAAGGTATTTGATTTAATTGGAGATAGGACACTTTAGCCTTAGACATTACATACGAGAATTAACACAATTATATTGAAGGTATGAAATGGTCCATTGCCAGTTTTGAAGCATCAACCAAAAAAATGTGGAGTTACTGGAGCCATTTTTCCCATTTTATTAGGCCATCCTGGTCGTTAAGGGAATCCAACATTGGAATTTTCTCCTCATAATCACCAATTAATTCATCCAACCTGTTAATGAATATTCCTCAGGTTTTAGATAGAATTGACATTTCATCCCCAGCACATTTAAGCTTTCCATGCTACCTGAAATTAACAATTGACCCTCTTATAGTAAGGGGTGGTGGATGACCATGACACTAAAACTAGTGGATCAAAACATTTGGAAAACTTCTGCAAAGCAAAAACTCTCTTATTTAATTTATTGGGCACATACTAAAATTGTTAGGTTTTAACATTATTAACAAATCTTCTTCAGTATCCCACAATTTAATACCCAGTACTTTACTACATTTTGGCACTTCATCCTCCCAGGGTAATCTTTACTTATTTTGTCGTTCGAATTTGGACCGGAGAATTACTATTCCATTCTCTCAGACGGCATATTATATGTGCACTTTGCCATTATTTTATTAGCTTCTCCATGACGTCATTAACAGTTCCTCTTCAATTGAGCGTCACACCCAGGAAATTGTCCACATAAAAATTGTTTGCTCATTATTTAATCTATGGACTTACCCGTAGTACATTTAAGGCTGTGCATTTGTGCATTTAATCGGTTTTCGCTTGTTTTGAAAAGTAGGGAACATGGAAGGAACAGACTGGATGTAGCACCAAAATAATACGCTCCTAAAGCGAAGGTTTTCAGAGGGCCCTACTATGTGGGTCGATAGGATTCTCAGGCCACATAAATGACCATAAGATGCGGGTATAATCCCGGTCACAGCCTCCTGTAAACCCACTCTGAGGAATGCTTTAATTATGTCATCCGTGTTAAAGGCATATATATTTTTCATCCTGTAAATTTAATAAGATATCTCTAATTTTTTCCAGGTCGACGACAGCAGACCTGTCATCAAACTGTCATTTAAACTAGGATACATTTTTGTTACTCCTGGCACTACAATTTGTAAAACACAATCCCCAAAGGAGTGGTCTTCAGAAGTGGTCTTAGAATCTTAGAATAGATCCTTCGTCAATCCGTGATGTGGTTAAATAGTGTCCATAAATTTTGGCTTGCTCAGGAGGTACCTCTTCTATAAATTTAATTAATTAACCTGCTCAGCTACAACTCAATTATATCATATAGGCAGTTAGCAATTTCTGGAGTATTACTCAATTCGCAGATGCTGAGCTTTTAACCTGTCATATTGCCATTCGTATATTAATGGGCAAAATTGGTTACGATGGTTCTGTCTCCACGGAAGTTCGTTACCCAGTATAGTTATTGCCAGACCAGATCCAGACCCAGATTCAACTTTTACATCTTTCAGGTACTGTTCCCTGAGTTAAAAGATTCGTCTGTCTGGACTTTTCTTCATTGTAATTTATTCAAATGCTGTCTATATTCCCACAATTTATGACACTGGCTCAAACCTCAACACCATCCTCTATGGAAAGTATTTACTGGGGGTACAACTCATGTGTAAGCACACATTTATGGTATTTTATTTGTAGTTTCCTCTTGTCATTTTTGAATTATTATTTACGAGGAAATCTACCTACCATTACATGGCCTCCTGCAGTCTTCAAAAGGGTTGACACCACATTTCTTTACAATACCCCTTTTACAAAGGAGGCATAATAGTCACTACTATCAAATATTTTTATTGGGCTACAGAAGCATACATACCCCAGAAGGTGGCTAAATTTACATTATCGTGAAAGTTCTTTCTGTAGTTTTACTAAGCCCTACTGTTAGATATTTTTTCTGGAAGTCTATCTCATTTACTGCATTACACGTTTTTTTCCCATTGACCATCCTGACCAGATACATTAAACAGTGTCATACAATTGAGGACCTTTTATCCGGGACGAGAAAACAAGATAATTTTATAGTTGTGGGATTTCTCCATCTGATACTTTCTACCATCAAGACATTTACGTTTTTGACGTACGCTGGGATCCTTCGGTTAATAATCATTTACATTTTTTGATTTATGCCTTTTATTCATCTTTTTTACCTGTAAACCAGGTAAGGGCTACTTACAGCAAAACCCTTTGTATTAACATTAGCAGCAATTTTTTACATTACGCATTTATGCTGTGTCAGGATTTCAACATTATCATTATCTATCAACATTATCATCCCATATAGACCCTTACAACCATGGACTGTATGGTGTCTTCCTTTGTGACATTGTAACAGTTGTTTATTTTGGCATAGCATTCCTTACATTGTGATTACCTAAACATCGTCGTACATCTGTCAAGTTCCCTCCACTCTTTCAACTTTTATCATTCCTATGATATTGTATGCATTGCAATTCTTTAGAAAAATGAGTACCCTTGCAGAAATAGACAATCTCTTTTTCTCTGACTGGTTTCTATTAACTGGGGTATTTAGGAGATGGTTTTATTCTTCTACTTGTGGAGATTCATTATTTCTGATTCCTTCTAATTGGTATGCATTCTATGAACTCCTTTTTAGGAAATGAATTTTTGTTTGATTATTAACATGGGATAATTTTTCCCTTTGTTGAAACTTGACAGATGCCCCAGAGTTAATATGCGTGCATCTTTCTAAAATGAGTTAGTTGGCTGTGTCTTGCAATCTGCACAATTAATTTCTTGTAGACCTAGTCTTATTTCTCAAGACCAATTACCCTTGTGAATATTTGTTTGAGAGCATTACAAGTGTTTTTCAGCTTAATTTATTCTGTACATTGGACTCAATAACCAGTCTGATTCCTTAGGATATATTTATTCCTTAAAGTTTTGAGAGTGCTTCCAGTTTACTCTAAAAATAAACTGCTGTACCTTTGTAAGTGTGATCTGGGGATTTTTAAAGTAACAATGATATTCATAGATCAACCTACTTTGTTCTGTATTACCATAAGTGACCTTCAACAAGTTCAAACTGCTTCCTTGTAAGATTTCATTTAATTGGAAAGGCTTGTATGAGCTTGTGAGCATCTACCTCTTACCTGTCCTTTGACGTAATATAATTTAGTTACACAGGCTAGGTCTACTCTTGTCATGCACAGCTTGCTTTAAAAATTTACCCTAAATTCCTCCCAGTTTTTCTCCAGGATTAAAACAACAGGTAAGTAAATCTGGTTTTGGGAGTTTGGCAAAAAGACATCAAAAGACATATTATTTGTTGGAGCAACGATCACTGAATAATGCCTGGTTTACACATTTTAATTTATTCAAGGCCTGACTTTTAAAAGAAAAGAATCCTTCTTCTAATTCATAATACTGATTATTCTAAGATTACTTCAGTCTCATCTACACATTTACTAACAAATTCTCCTCACTTTTTATTGATAATGAATTTGTATGAATCATTATCTATTACCTAAAAGCATCTAAATTACAATTTAATTATTCAGTAATCAACAGTTTCTGGATTCATTAATTCCCCAACTTTATTGTATGCTTTTGTTACATGCCTTTTCTAGCTTGCAGTGATTGCTTTTTATGCTCTATATTCCATATGTTTGTCTTCTACATTAATTTCCTCAATTTCAGCCATGATGCAATGTATGAAATTCAACTTAATAACACTGAGCTTATGTACTGTAATTATGTACTTATAAAGGTAAATAGATGCAACTTACCTCTGTGCTTAGCAATTACATGTATAATATAAATTTTAAATGTTTCATTAATGCAATCTGGCTCATCAAAATTAATTTTATACAGATTAATAAATCCTTGCCAGAATTTGGCATAGGCCATAGCAAAATTATTATACACAAAAAATCTTCAGACAACTTTTCTTATCAATTACACATACACTATATAAATCTTGGCAGAATGTCTAATCAAAATTAATATTATACTCAATTAATATAAAAACTTAAGACTGACTTGACTTATTCTAAAATTAATATTGTAATAATTATAATCCACTAACATTTAAGTTAAAATTTGTGAACTTAACTCCACCTCCTTCTTGTTCATTTCACATATAATTATTAAGTAATTAACTAAATTAATGACTTCACTAATTACCTCCGGTTCATTGAAGGACCAACAGGCAAATTAAATGTGGAAATTGCATTTATCTGTACGTATACTAATTAGTACATAACCGTAAATGATAACAAAGATAATTATTATTTATCATGTTACATAGACAAGTAGATTTTGGGGACACCTAGGTCGCAGAAAAAATTGTTCCCTTCGATATCCTACACTGTCATAACCACAAGTTGCTCTGGGACCTATTAATTAAATGAAATTACATACACCAGGGAATACTGGTAAATTATAAATTTGGGAATGTATATTAAAAATAATAAATGGTTTGTATATACACACAATATTACAATAACAGAAGGAAAATATAACTTAATATCCACTCACCATTTGACTGGAGATTAATGTGTATCATTACTCAGAAAAACTCACTCTAACTAAATCTATAAGAAAATAATGCTGGCCAGAATTATACACAAATCTAGAGTGCTTATCTGTGGTTCACAGGGAGTGGTCTTGTCCAGTCGTCTGATTCTGATAGCTCAAGTTTATGCAGGAAATGCACATCCCACTCCAATTTCGCCTCCTATTTGAGAGGTGTCGTCACACAATTTTAACCCTGTGCACGATAAATATTCTTCCCATTTACACCAACGTTTGTACAAATTCAAAAACCAGATGGCGAGTCTCTACTGCGCAGACGCAGGCTTTCCGTTTTCTATGACATATAAAAAATATTAATTAAATACAGTTCATTATGGCCATCTATTTACTATTAATACTGAATTTCTGGAGAATTATATTACAGTATTCCACAATGACAATTTAAAACCCACACTGTTAGGCTATACCTTGTTATAATATTGTTGAGGACAAGTGAGCGTGCTCCACCTGATACACCTCATCTGTGAAATTACAATGAGGGGGAAATTGGGGTTATTAATAATAATAGAGAAGAAAATGATAACAGTAGTAGATGTATAAGTCCGTATCCGTAAGTATTAGATTAGATTTTGATTTGTCACCGAGTTGGCTAGTTTAGTGTTGCACTCCACATCCATCTGTGGGGACCGGTATTTAGCGCGATGAAGAGAGCATATGGATACACAAAAGGCTAGGGACTAGGCCCAATGGGTGGTCTGGTAAACCAGGAATTTAATATGGATTTTATATTACATATCTATATGTTCAACTTATCTGTTTCAAGCAAATTTAGGAAGGAAATTTGCTTAGTATATCTGGTATCTTATTTTCAATTATAAGATATTCTTGAATGTCACACATAGCGTTATTATACTGATGTTCTCTGTATTATATTTATTTATTTATTTTTTTTTTTTTTTTATTATCACACCGGCCGATTCCCACCTAAGCAGGGGGTTGTGGTTGGCCCGAAAAAAAAACGAAAAAAAACCCGAAAAGAAAAAAAAAAGAAAAACTTTTCACCATCCATTCACTCCATCACTGTCTTTTGCCAGAAAGGGTGCACTTGCTAGTTGCTTTACAACTACTGTTTTTTAAACTGCAACATTAACACCCCTCCTTCAGAGTTGCAGGCACTGATTACTTTCCCATTCTCCAGGACTCAAGTCCGGCAGCCAGCCGGTTTTCCCTGAATCCCTTCATTAATGTTACTTTGCTCACACTCAACAGCACGTCATGTATTAAAAACCATTTGTCTCCATTCACTCCTATCAAAAAAAACGCTCACGCATGCCTGCTGGAAGTCCAAGCCCTCGCACACAAAACCTAACTTTACCCCCTCCTCCAACCCTTATAGGCCGACACTACCCTGCCTTCCTTCCACTACAGATCTGATACACTCTCTTGAAGTCATTCTGTTTCGCATTACATTCTCTCTACATGGTGTTCCCACCGATCCACCCTCAACAACATTTCCTCAGCCCTGCTGGACAACAGTTTTGGTTAATCCAACACCTCCTCCTATCTTCCAAAATAACGTAATTCTCCTGATTATATTCACACCCACATTGCCCCGCAGACATGACATCTCCACTTGCTCCAGCTTCTCCTCGCTGCTAATTCATTCACCATGCTTCACACCATTTAAGAGCGATGGTATTTAAAACTATACTTATTCATTCCCCCTCTTGGCCTCCATGGACAAAGTTCTTTTGTCTCACCGACTACTAAGTGCTGCACACTCACTCTTTTTCCTCATCAATTCTATGATTAACTCATCTTCTTTCCAAAGACCATCCGCTGACCACTTTCCACTCCCAAATATCTGAATACGTTCATCCTTCTCCATACTCTCTCCCTCCAAATCTGATATTCAATCTTTCATCACTAATCTTTTTGTTTATCTCATAAACCTTACTGTTTCCTGTATTCACCTTTCTTTTAATTTTATTCTTTTGACACTCCCTACCAAATTCATCCACCAATCTCTGCAACTTCCTTCTGAATCTCCCAAGAGCAAGTCGTATCAGCACAAAGAGCAGCTGTGACAACTCCCACTCTTTTGTGTGTGATTCTTTATTTTAATCCTACGCCCCTCTTGCCAAGACCCTCGCATTTTACTTCTCTTATCAACCCCATCTATAATCATATTAAACAAACCACGGTGACAACACACCATCCTTGTCTAAGGACCCTACTTTTTTTTTACTGGGAAATAATTTCCCTCTTTCCTCAACTCTAAATTGAGCCTCAACTATTCCTCGTTTAAAAAAAACTCTTCTCTGCTTTCAGTAACACTAACCTCCATACACCATACACTTGCAACACATCTGCCACATTGCCCCTATCCACCTGTCATAAGCCTTTTCACAATATCATAAATGCCACAAGACCTCTTTAGCTTATCTAAATACTGATTCACTTATATGTTTCATACTGTAAACACTGGTCCAACACACCCCCTACCTTTCCTAAAGCCTCCTAGTTCATTGCTATCTATTCTCCGTCGTACTCTTAATTTCTTTTCAATTATAACTCTACCATACACTTTACCAGGTACACTCAACAAGAATTATCCCCCTTATAATTTTTGCACTCTCTTTTATCCCCTTTGCCTTTATACAAAGGTAAACTATGCATGCTCTTGCCAATCCCTAGGCATACCTTAACCCTCTTCCATAATTTATTAAATAATTGCACCAACCACTCCAAAACTATATCCCCACCTGCTTTTAACATTTCTATCTTTATCCCATCAATCACGGCTGCCTTACCCCCTTTCATTTTACCTAACTGCCTCACGAAACTTCACCCACACTCAAACTGGCATCTTTCCTTATTTATTTATATAGTAATTTTAGCATACATACAGAGGGTAACAAAATAATACAGGTAAAGAGCCGGCATGCCAAAGCCACTTATATGCATAGCATTACGGGCTGGCTCTTAAATTACTTAGATTAACTAAGCAATGATGAAGTTGAAATCAGTGATATAAAACATTTTGTAAACAGATAACTATTAAAGCTCAAATGAGTATTACAAAGACAGGTCATATGGTTGCTGCATTGCGTGTACATTCAGTTCGATATGGAGTATTCTGTAGGTAGTTGCATTTAAAAAAATAACAAAGTTAGGATTGTGTCCTAGGTTTAACATTAGTGTGATTATAATTGTGGAGTAGTAACATATAGGATATACAATTTATAAGGTTCAGTTATTCAGTATTTATTTGGTTTTTTGTGGTGAGTAAGTGATCTTCTTGAGAAGAGCTTGATTTATAAACTGGTAGTGTTTCTTTTATATTTACAGGTATTGAATTCCAGTTTTTAGGGCCGTTTATGTGCATTGTGTTTTTTGCCATAGCGTGAGATGGACACGAGGAACATCAAAGAGTGATCTGTGCCTTGTGTTATGGTCATGTGTTCTGTTGAGGTTGGCAAGGAGATTTGGTTTGAGGGAAGGGTTTGAGGCGTTAATATCAGAGTTAAGTGTTCCTATGTATGTAATAGGTGCAGTAATAAGTATGGATGTTTTGTATGGTGAGTAGCTTGAGTGTTTTTGAAAATTTTGGTTGGAGTGTGCTGTCTGTTAGTGAGTAAGAATTTGTTATCATTCACTGCAGCCTTTTGTTGGGTAATTAGTGGTCTGAGATGGTTAATTGTTGTTGAGCCCCCCATGCACAAATTCCATAGGTGAGATAGGGGGTAATAGAGAGTGATAAAGGGCCAGGAAGGTGACTGTGAGAACAAGTACCGTATCTTCGATAGTATAGCCTAGTCTTGGAAATGTTCTTAGAAATTGTTGTATTATGTGTATGAATATTCTGAGTCTATTATTTAGGTGGATTCCTAGAATTTTCCCTCTGTTAGCTTTGTGATAGGTGATCTGTTTATCGTTATGTTAAGAGGTACATCTGTAGCTTGTATACCAACTGAATGAAGTAGTTTTGTCAATTGTTTAGTGTTAGTTTGTTAGTCCTATCCAGGGTTAAAGAATATGTTCTGTTATTCGGTTTGTTTACAGAATTGGCTAGCGTGACTGGGCTCGGCGTGAGGAGAAGACGTATGTAGTGTATCTGCCCCCCCAAAAGTGTGGGTTTTTGAAGTAATTGCGAAGCATTTGGTAGGTTATTTATGTATAGGAGAAGAGAGAAGAGGGGACTCAAGGGACTCTTCCCTGTGGGGACACCTACTGTATTTGTTGAGCGGAAGAGATTGCCCCATTTGCCAGTACATAAACAGATTGGCTGCTGTTGCTGAGGTCATGTACTTGACGGTAGTTTTGAGGGAGTGCCCTCCTTATCCATAGTGTGACAATTTTACGTGGAAGCTCGGTATTGGTAATTAGGTATCAAATGCTTTACGTAAGTCTTGATAGACTCCCAGTGGGATACTTCTTTGTTCTCTAGTGCAGTGTTTTTAGGGTTCTAGCATGTGTATCTATAATTGCATCATTAGTATTTTGATTAGGCTGATTATAAATTGGCTGGGCTCGTTGAGATTGCTTTGAGGTTGAGTAGGAGTAGACTCGTTTATGAATTAATTTTTCGAAGAATTGTTGGATGCTGGCGAAGAAACAATCCAGAGAGGGTTTTGTTTGGTTGGAGAGGTGTTGTAAATGTGGATATTGGCCTTATAGTTATTCAACTCGGTTTGGTTCCTCCTCCCTTTATGGATCGGGAGGGTGACCCTTGCTATTTTGAGTGCTGTAGGGAAGGTGGAGGATCAATGGATTTGTTAAAGAGTGTTGCAAGGATTGGTGGATAGTACTTTGTGACAATTTTTTGGTTTATTAAAAGGGTGGTAATGTAAGGTATTTTAACTCTCCTGCCTTGGTTTTTATGTGACGTTGATAATAAGGGAGAAGATCGTATGGGTTAGTCGGAGCTAGGAACAGTGTGTTCGAGGTAGTTGCAGTGAGGTAGTCATTTGTGGTGGTTATCTGAGCTTGGGATTTTATTGGGCTCAAGGGTTTTGTCTATAGTGGAGAAGAAAATCATTGAGTCTGTTTGCTGTTTCTGTTGGGTGGGAGTTTTGAGCGGGGGGTGGGTGGGAGGTTTCGGGTTGGTTTTCATTCTGGCTGATTTTGCTTCTAATGTTTATTTCGCTTATTTTCACGTAGGATTGTTATCCTATTTTTTTCAGGTTTTCCAGAATTTCTGATAGGGTTCTTCCAGGTCTTTTTATATTCACCCTCGTAAGTTGGATATCTGTTTCATAATACAGTATTGTTTTTTTTGCCCTCACCTTCTTATCAGGCTCTGCTGGTTTGTGGTTAGGATTATTGTCGAGTTAGTAGTTGTAGTAGGTGTTAACGTTTTTTTGTTTGGTTTCTGGGTATGTGACCAATTCTGTAACTGTTTTTCATTATCGGTGTTTTGTATATTTTGTTTTTTGTGTTTTTTTTGATTTATGGATTTGAGAATGCTGATGGCTGGGTGTTTAGCCAGGGATGTTTCAGTCTCTTAGCTGTCATCTGGTTTAGTTTTTTTAGGGCATGAGTCCCACAGTGAGAAGCTGGTAGAGCAGTAGAGAGAGTGTTGTTATTAGAGGGGAGTTGCTATTGCTGGGTCTTTTTTAGGGAAAAGTTATATTAAAACATGCCCCCGTTCTATATCTGTATAAGATTTCTAGCTCAGTGTTTTGCCAGGTCAATGTTTGTTACTGATGTTTGTGACAGTTATTAAATGGCTTTGCTCCAATTGTAACAGTCTCTGGGAAGGTGACTTTAAGTTTAGTAGTGTCTTGGGCGGGGGTTTATTTATTTTTTTTTTTACCAAGAGTTGTTATGAGGAAAGTATAGGGTGGTAGTGGGTCTGTGGTAATTTTCTTTATGTAATTATGCATGATTTTAAAGGGGGATGGGGATATGGTGTGTTGTGTTGGTCCCAGATGTGGTCAAGTAGGGAAATACACAGGTTCTGTAACTTCAGATCTATTGTGTGTAGGTTTTGTTTTACTGTTGGTATGCAACCTTGAAAAGTTACTCTTTGTCGTTTGTGCAATTGAATTCAGTTAAGTTTCTGGTGTGGTCTCTGGTCTTGGCAGAGATTTATATTGGACAGTCACCTGAGGAGTAGTAATAGAGTGTAAAGTGATCTTTGTTCATTGCGTGATCTGTTATCATACTTCCTAGGTTTTTTTGACTCCTCCTAAATTGGCTCTATTGTTTAATTGTTTGGAATCTGTAGTTTGTTTATCACTGGTGGAGTGAGAGGTTTTTGTAGGTACTTGGATTGATTTTGCTATTATATATTCCCCATGTTCATCCCTTGTGCAAAAGTATTAGTGATACTTTTCTAGTTGGTCTGATGTTAAGTAGTATATAGCTGTTTGCCACCCAATAGTTGGTCTGGCCTACAGTTAGTGAATGGGCTGTTCTTGTATTGTAACCAGGAATAATGGTTTTATAGACTAGACATTGTTTGTATAGTATCAGGCTTTTGCCAGGTTCAGTTAGTGTAATGATGGAACATATTGGCATGCAAGGAATTTAGTGATGTAGGAGGTCATCGTAATGCTTTGCTTAAAGATCTGTTTTTGTAGTTTAAGATTAAAGTTGTTTATGTTGTTGTTGGGCTCTGAGAAGTGCCTTTGTTTGTTTTCCTGTGTTGTAGTCAATTACAGTAACTTTTGAATCATTTAAAGTCATTTTAAATAAGAGGGTTGGTATCAGGATCAATGCTTGTAAATCATAAGATTTGTAGTGTATCTATAGTTTAGAATTATGTATATAAAACATAGTGTAATATCTAAAGCTTAAATAAATAGTATTCTTCATAAGTGGATCAAATTAAGACTAGTGTTAAGACAGTGACCTTTATGCTCGACCACTTTAATTTACAATTAGTTTGATCATAATCTGTGTGTATCCCAAACTGCCAGAAGTACTTGTAAACCAAGCTCTAAGTCTGGCCACTACTTCAGTCAGTCTGTTCACATTTTGCACTTTTGCTCCATAAACATACTTATCTTACGTTCATGTTTTCATAGTGGGTTATAGATCTACTCAGGCTTCTAACTGCATTCCTATAACAATCATTTTCATTATTTACTTCTCTCCTAATATTATTCCTAATGCTAGACACAGTTATACCAAAGTTATATTCTACATTCTCCTTCTGGGTACTCTTCTTGGCTAACATATCAACTATAAAGTTGACAATTAGTATTTTTCTGAGCAGTTGTGTTATTTGATTTTAACGTAAATATATGGTGATTATTAGTTTTCATTAATTTGAGTTGCCAATTAGTACTTTCCTGAGTTTCTACTTATGAGTAGTAATGCGGATATATGGTGATTCATAGTTTTTATTTAGGGGTGACCCTTTTTGAAAACTTACAGGAATTAGGGACTTTTTCATTGTTTTTTAACAAAAGTTCATCGATTTATGACACAGATGTTTTATTTGGAACAAAGCTAAAAAAAGTTATAACCTTTATGTTTATATATATAGTATATATATTTATAGTATATAGATATATATTAATATATTTATATATATATATATATATATATATATTATATATATATATATGTCGTGCCGAAATAGGCAGAACTTGCGATCTTGGCTTAAATAGCACGCTCATCTTGCCATATAAGACAAGTGAAAATTTTGTCCCCCCCCCCCCCCCCCCCACTGTATGCAGTAATTTTCGCCCCCCCCAAATCATTTGAACCTAACGAAAAAAAATATTTATTTCACTGTGATTGTTTGTACTAAATTATAGTAAACGTATTTAAAAATATATTTAGTTAGGTTAGGATCTCTAAATAAATTGCTGTTGTTATAATAAGGTTAGGGAAGGTTTTCAAAGATTCTTTTGCGTGCAAAATTTTAAAAATTTTTCATTAACATTAATGAAAAAATATATTCTTTAAACGTATAAGAGAAAAAGAAAATTTCAGAAAGGACTTAATTTTAAATGAGAGTTCCTTGCTAATTGACCAGTTTTACATATTCGGCACGAATTTATATATATATATATTTAGTATATTTATATATATATTTTATATATTTATATATATATATATATATTATATATATCTTTATTATTATATATATAATATTATTTTTATTATCACAATGTCGATTACCACATGCCAGGGCTTGGCCGCAAAAAAGAAAAAACTTTCCACCATCATTCACTCCATCATGTCTTGCAGAAGGGTGCTTTACAACTACAGTTTTTTAACTGCATATTAACACCCCTCCTTCAGAGTGCTTGCACTGTACTTCCCATCTCCAGGGACTCAAGTCCGGCCTGCCGTGTTTCCTGAACCCCTTCTTAAATGTTACTTCTGCTCACACTCCAACAGCACGTATAGTTATTAAAAACATTTGTCCCATTCGCTTCTATCAAA